AACTTTGTTTATCAGAAGATTGCAAAAGGCGATTGTATGACCACAGGATACTGCAACCATCATGATTTTGAGTCAGCTGCCAAGTGTCCAAATTTTGATCACATGACTATGGGAATGCTGCAAATGTGAAAAACAGTCATGTGTCACGTTTTTTCAGTGCTATTGTAACTTTGAGAAGTCACTAGATGAATGGTTGTAAGTTGAGGATTACCTGTATGTGCCAAATAATGAGGAATCCGATGTTTATAACATTTCTAGTATAGTTTCCTGTTCCTTCTCTGTAATTAAATATTTTATTTAATAAAAATTTGTTCTAAAAGACAGCTAAAAGTTTTTTTGGCAAGAGTTTTAGAAGTCATTTACCACTGCCTTCTTCCTTGGACTGAGAGAGAATGACTGGCCCAAAGTCATCTAACCATCTTCGTGTTAAAGCAGGACTAAAGCTCACAATCTCCTGATTTCTGGTCTGGTGCCTTAACCACTATATTGAACAGGTTTTCAGAATGTTTTCTTAAAGCTTTTTTTAAGAGCCTTCAAAACCATATTATTGATTTAGTGTCATTAGTGAAACTCATATTATTTATTTATTTATTACAGTTACAAGGACACCCATCTCACACAGTGTGACTGTGGGAAGCATACAACAATTGAATAAAACATTAAATACATAAAAACAAAAAGGAGTAAAGTAATTTGTAATTGTTAGCCTAAAATTAGCTTACTTATTGGATTACTTTGATTTCATAACAATATGGTAAGATAATATGGCAGGTCATCAACCTACAATGTTTTGTTTTTGACTGATAAAATCCTAAATGGCTTGGGCCCAGAATATTCAAATGACAATCTCATTCCATATGCTTATTTCATAACCCTGAGATAATGTTCAGTTGCTGAAGTTGAGCAGTTTCAGGTAGAGGAATATAGAGAAGGAAAATTCTTTAATTGTAGCATTCTATTTATTAGAATGTTCAAGGAAGCTTGTGCTATTGGTTTGCATCCAATAAATATATTTCTCTTCTGTCAAATAGGATAATTATTGGATTCCATAGATCAGTCCTGAGAATATAAACATTTCTGTAACATGCTGCAATAAGTTACACATTTTATATAGTATTTTTCTCCTGTATTGTTTAATATTAAATTCATAGACTATTATGCTTTTATTTTTATAAAATTATTAATGTGCTTGTAAAATACTGTAGTTGTCATTAAGCATATTATATGAATATATATAACTAGATGAAGAAGCATTTGTTAATTTTGCTTTATTGTGACTTTTGTTATAAATATTACAGGTTAGCCTCTCCCAATTTGGCACCATGCAGATGAACTGGATATGAAATCCAAATAATCACATGGGATGCCAGGGTGGGGAAAGCTGTGAGATGCAATTATTGCCCTGAAGAACAAGATCAAATATTTATTTATTACACAATCTGGCAAATTCTACAAGTATAGCATGGAGCAATTGTATTTTTTTATTTTAACTTTTAAGTAATATTATCTCCATCTAAAAGCTGAATAAATAGTAACAATTACAGAATGATCCACTATTACTTTGGCTAATTCTTTTTAAATTGTATTGAATCCAGAGCATCATTCCATTCCATTATATCTTGTGGCAATATGTGTATAACCATACATACAGTGGTGGGATTCAAATATGTGAACAACCGGTTCTCTGTGTAGATGCTGCTTCCGGAAGTCCGTTCTGGGTCTGGGCAACAAAAAATTAGCTACCGGTTCTGCTGAAGTGGTGAAAACAGGCTGAATCCCACCACTGCATACATAGTACTAAAAAAAAAATGGAAATAGTTTTAGGAGGGTACTCTCCATAATTCCCAAAACCCTTATTCCTAATGTGCCATTATATTTAGTCCAGTGTGCTAAACGTAGAAGCTTTTATCATGTACCTTTTTAACCTCTTCAGATTAAGTCAGAGGACAAGATTTTAGCAGTTGTAGAAAGCATGGAAATTGAGCAATAATGAAACCAGTAATTAATAACCTCTTAACAAAATTATGATATTTGTATAATCTGGGATGGTTGCCCATCTAAGATAATATGCAGAATGAAGAATCATTTCTGGGAAATGATTATTTGTATTTAAATAAGTGAGCATACAAAGTAAAAATATCACTTTCTCCTTATAACATTAAATTCTTGTATAGCCACTTTGATAAATAAGAGGAAGTGGTAATGATCTTTGGCTATGCAGCTATCCTATTTTGTCAAATGAAATCCCATTAATAACTGCAAGGTGTTTAGCACATCCTGCTTTAAGTTAGCTCTAGTTAAATGATAAAACATTTTTCATGCTAATTAATTCTACAACCAATATTAATCTCTTTTGACCAATGTAAAGTCTAAGTGTTTGGAAACAGATTTCTAACATACATTTCACCTATGCTAGCTGATCTTTTCAGTGATATATTCTATGGGATAGCAAAAAATAACAGAAAGATAGACAGGGAAGTCTTCTGAGGAGAGGACAAGAAAGTAATGGCAGAAAAAGCCAACTAAAGAAAGCAATTGCCTGCTCACTTTAAGTTGGCTGGCCTAGAGCCAAAGAAATCCTTTACAATCTGATATTTGGATGGCCTCGACATCTCTCTTTATTAATTCCTTAAAAAAAAAACTTTATCAACCTGTAATAAAATCAGTTAAATAGAACTATGTACTTCTATAATTGTCTCAGAATACAATCACAAAAGCCAGCTCTGTGGAGAGATGAATACTGTTTGAGTCCCTGAAATTAGGAGATGATCTTAATAATGGCGCAACTGGTATTAAATCATAGGGTTTTTTTCATATTTTGGGTCCTAAACTGTATGAGCTACATTGCAGAAATTGCCTGGATAAATAGTTGTGGCTGATTTCATCTTTAAGGCAAATTTTTCAAAGGATAATGGTGATAACTCCCATCTCTTCTTCTTTTGTACAGATTTTGGCATGCACAAACATACGCGTTACATATCTGTTTAACACTGTAAATAAATGAGATGTTAAGTGGGATGAAATAACATTAAGAAACAGTTTTTCTGGAAATGATAGTAGTGGCTTCTTAAGAGAAAGTAAAGATTGTTCATAACACTTCCTGAAATAACTGAAGAGTTGACCTAATGCCTTTCAGGGCTTAAGTCTTCTATTGTCACAGAATCAATATCCTTTGGGACCTTGTAAGAATGTCACTGATGCATATAAATGACTTTCTATTTCTTGAAATAAGGTATTCACATAGTTTAAAAATCAAATCATGGGTTTAAAGAAGCAATAAATGTTTAATGATGGCATCGGATGCTATTATTAAAACACCAGAAAATTCTTGACTATACTAAAGTAACCTCTTGAAACTAAAAAAGGTGTTTTTGTTTAGTGATTCTGAAACAACAGATGTAGCAGAAAAGAGTGAATTGACAGCCACAGGGAACTGAAACTCATAGAGCAGATACAGAGTGAACAACTGGAGTTGATGGCAACCTTCCACCCACACCACCCTTGCTGTCAGTTTGCCTCAATTGAAGCCCTGTGGGAGAAGGTAGAGAACTGCATCTACAGCAAATGAGTTTGTTTTAGATTCATTGAGCTTATGGCTTCTTGGATGATATCTACTAACCAAGATTATAACTAGTGTTAAAGAAGATAGTGAATACAGGTACAAGTGCAATAGTTTTTTATGTGTGAAAATGCTATACATGATATTTGGGCATTTCTTAAAAGAAATATTGCATGTTGGGGATCATCAGTCCTAATTCAATCACACAGAAAGAAATCATTTTCTTTTTAAAAAGCTACTGTTCAATAGATATGAAAAATCTTTAGTAGTTGTAGTAACTCAGGAATTGTAACTATACAGTATTTCATACTTTACAACTACCTCATTTGAGCACCCTTTAAATTGTTAGTATATGCTTCAGAAAACTAACCACTTGCTTTACATTTGAGAGGAAAAAAAATCAAATTAATGGTTAAGAAATGCAAGTACTCAATAAATTTAGCTTAGAAAAGAAATTTTATATGGAAAACTTTTCATTTTAATATGAATTTTGTCCACTAACATTTCTTGTTTTTCTAACATTTCATATAAGAATAGGTATACAACCTCTTATCTGTTTGTTTCTCTGGCAACCCAACTCACATGTGGTGATTTTTACAAGCTCAAATTTATCCTAAAAATCAAGTTTGCAGCTACCATTCACTTGGAATGGTAGAGGTTAAAAACAGTGATGGCCGCAGGCATCTCAGCTAATGGCTTGTTAACTGTATACTTCCCAGGAAAAATTGAAGTTGACCTCATCTATCTATCCACCCTACTTACTTCCATGCTTAATTACATGAAGTACTCTGTAAGGGAGAGACTTTAAACTTGATTTGTCAAAGCCAAGTCCTCTTTTATAGCATTCCAATGCAATTGGCTTGACGCTGTTTCTGATTTCTAAAGCCCCTGGCATTTAACAGCTCCTCTGGAAAAAATCATTCATTCATACCTGAACCTGTTGTTGAAATCTGCTTCTGAGGCCTTATTTTAAATCCTCTTGATATTAGATGCATGATGAATAAAAGGTCTTTTTTTGTCAACGGTCAATGATCTTTTCTGAGGCAGGTTCTATTTAGCTCTATTGCTTTTGAAAAACAGCCAGAACTGTTTCAGATGAATTTTTATTTTAAAGTATTGCATTTTTTCTTTTTGTTAAGATGTGATTCTAACTCTTTTTCCTTGGTTCAGAGGGGGGGATAGATTCAAAGTAATAAAGATATATTAGATTATTAGTTTTGATTATCTGGTTTATAATTAGTTGTCGTGAGCATGACTGACAGAAAACAAGAATATAAATGATACTAACAAGCACATGAAATCTATAAATAGACCTGATGAGTTCTTGTTGAGACATTATTTTTCTGCATTATGTAGCTATGTATGCAGCTGTTCCTTATGAACTAAAATTTGAAGCATGATTTTAGCAATGATACCTTTCTTTCTCTGTGTATCATTTCAGGTGGGATGGTGGAAGGACAAGCGCCTCAAAATGAAGTATTACGTGTGGCCACGTTCTGAGCTATATCCTAACTGTGAGGAACGTGAGGATGACCATCTTAGCATAGTGACCCTTGAAGAAGCACCTTTTGTTATTGTGGAAAATGTGGACCCACTAAGTGGCACCTGTATGAGGAACACAGTTCCATGTCAAAAACGAATTGTATCGGAGTAGGTAGCAACAAAACCTTTTATAACTAGTTCTTTTCAGCATGTTTCTTCCTGCAACAGTGACAATACAGCTACATTGTTCATTTTTAATTCATTTTATCTCACCAGTCTGTAGCATTACCTGCATCAAGTGGGATTTCAGTGGTGGGTATTTTATTTTATTTTATTTTATTTAGACCTCTATGGCCCTTTATCTTGTAAACATAATTCTGGGTGGCTAACAACATTTTAAAAGTCTGTACAAACAAAATAACATAAAAAGAATTAGAACCAAACACAATGGGGCATAAAATGGCAACCAAGGAAATTAATAAAATCACATTTCATGGGCTCTCCTGCTCTCCTGACCCTCTTGCCTGGGAAAATAGCCAGATCTTAAAGGTTTTCTGAAAGTCCAGCAGGGTCAGAGCCCACCTTAACTCAAATGGTACAGTATTACATCAAGGAATGCAAAGTCAGCTATGGAAAAACTGAGAATTAAAAAGTGAAGTTTTACTTAGTTCTGAGTGTCAGAATAAATGTAATTTCATCACACCAATATCCTTGCATGATATTTTTTATGTGAAAATTTTAGGGCTATGTTTTAATTAACTTATTTTGTTTGTGTGCTGCTTATTTTTCAAAAACCTGGAAAGGAATCAACCTTTTCCTTGTATAGCTCTGTCTTTGGCTTCCACCTATTGCTCAGTTCTCTTTTGGCCATCATAGTAATAACATTTCCAAAATATCCAAAGCGTTTGCTGAGTCAATTCTGCTATGCAGTGTTTTATTTTATTTATTTTATTTTTATTTACTTATTTAGCACGTGTGTTATTTTATTGATAAATTAGCTGCATGGTGCTTAAGGTGAATTTCACAACTGCAAAACCTGCATCAACAAGTTACTGCCATCCAACACCCAATATTTGTGCTTTATCGTTTAGGGAGGGCTTCATGTTTTCAAATCTAATTCCCATTAACAGGGCCTTACTGAACCATTTAAAAACTTATTCTCTGAATTTAGGATCCCTCTATGAGAACAGCATCTTCAGTTGTTACTCATACTTCAGTTCCTCCACTTACTCAGATGATGCAGTTCCATGTGCAGATCTCTATGGGATGAAAGTACCATATCTCTTTCCTGACTCAGGAGAGTTTCATCTTTTTTTATTCCCCCAGAGGCTTAAAGTAATCCTTAGAAAACTTGTCTGTAAATGCTCACAAGTTTAAACCTTGTCCTCAGCTGGAGAACCCCTTCACATTTCTCACTCACTGTCCTATGCAGGTAGGGTTATCAGGTTTGATAACTGATAACTGATTCCCTCTCATTTTTGTCTCCCTTTGAACCCTCCTCCAAACTCCTCCACCCTGGTGTTGATACATGCAGAGGAAAGAGGGAATGGCTTTGCTTACTAACACTTTATTACAAAATAATGACCTTCAGGGCACTGATATCCTAGTCTGGTATACCTCAAAGGGGTTATAGTAAGCCATTGCCTTTTATCTTAAATGTTTTTGTTCTATAGTATCCACAGCTATTTCTATGATATGTGAAGCTCAAGGCAGGAATTATCACTATTGATGCAATGATTTTCCAAATAGGCTATGATTCTGATCCTGTTATGTTATGCATACAGGATCCTGTATCCAGAGGCATCAGCTTTCACTCAATGTGCACTGCACTGTCCACTGTTGTGACCTCGCAATACATTTCAAGTGTTTTAGTGCACTCTGCCACCTTTATTAAGTATTAGAGGCTTGATTTTCAGTTCAATAATGTGTAGCTTTTAAAGGAGCATGAATACCTTCACTCGCTCTCTGATCATTAGTTCCCATCATCAGGTAACTTGTTACTCATATTTGTAATTTATACAGATTCGAGTAAAGAACAACTGGTTATTGACCAGTATAGTAAGAAAGAGATCATTCTTTATTGTTCCCAGTAAAGAAATTCCATTAGAATTATATAACCCTTTGATTTTTTTCTCTTACATAGTTTTTTTCCCTTATATCTTCTCTTCCAAAGCTGATATGTTAGTATTTGGAAATCAGGGGAAAGTTGAAGCCAGACCTAGCATATAAGGGAAAGGAGGGAATCCTATCCAAACTCTTATCTCTTAAAAAATTCTTGGTGCTTACTATACATGTTTATGTGTAAATTCCAAGATAATTCTTTAAAAAAATTAAGCTAAATATTCAATTCTCAACCACATTTTGGCAAGAATTTTGTGCTTTTGCTTAAAGAAAAATCATATTTGTTTTTCAATATTTCTGCTAAAGAGGTTCAGTTTCTGTTATCTTTGAAAGCTAGATTTAAATTTCAGTTTAGAATCAAGACTGGGAATTCTTTTAAAAATTATGTGGTCTTTATCAAAATAAAGTTTTTTTAAAAAAGTTTAAATGCAACATGATGACAACCATGGACCATGTCTTTTTGCTTATATATTTAGCATATTTTTATTCAGTAAAAATATATCTTGTCTTCCTCTAGAAACAAAACAGATGAAGAGACTGCCTATATCAAGAAATGTTGCAAAGGATTTTGTATTGATATTCTTAAAAAAATTTCTAAGTTTGTGAAGTTCACCTATGATCTTTATTTGGTAACCAATGGTAAACATGGAAAGAAGGTCAATGGAACATGGAATGGAATGATTGGTGAGGTAAGCCAAGAAAGACTGAAGCTTTATCTCATCACAAAGTAGGCTTTCCACAAAACTGAATGAGTGTGCTTGCATGCACACACACATAGACATACAACACACGCACAGAACACTGAATTATAATTCAGTTTTCATCATTCCCATACTTGGCTAGGGCTGCTGACAATTCAACAAAATCTGGAAGACCACAGATTTCCGTCCCTGCTTTATACAATTGTAAACATTTAAAAAAGAAAAACTGCAGATAAAAAAAAGCATTGTCCTGCAAGAGGATAGGGAAAAGGGGGCAGTAAAAGTAAAGTCCCCTTTATTTTGTTTGCAGTAATAAAACTACTTTTTATCTTCATATCAGAGGAGAAGATGAAAACTATATTTAGCTATTGAAATGTCACCTCTCTTTCTTCATATTATACTATCCAAAATTAGATACTGCCATCAGCTGTATAGAGCCAGGGGCATCTGGCAAAGGGCAGAACATATGATCAATTGCCTCATCTTTGAGAAGACAATGTAATCTTTAGTCACTGTATACCTTCAGTGTTTTATTCCCATACTTGGTATTAAACTAGGAAATATTTTTTCTTAACTACAGTTCAGAACGTTCCAATATGTACATTGATTCTAGAACCACATACTTTTCTTTGGTTCCATTTGTTTTGTTCCAAGACTATAGTGTACCTAAATTTTGATCTCCCTGGTCCTATTAATTGCTATATTACATTGACTAACTCTAATATAATGAGATATTTCTCATTTGATTTCTTTTAATTTTCATTCCTCAAAACATATTATTACTTTTTTCTTTGCATTCTTTCTTCTGTCATTAAAATCATGGTTTAAATTGGAAACTTCTTTTATTACAGGGGTGTCAAACTTGCAACATCACATGACATGTCATGACATATCGCGACTTTTCCATTGCTGGCAATGGGGTGGGTGCGGTTTCGGCATGACGCATCTGGCCCATAAGCTGGCAGTTTGACACTCCTGTTTTATTACATACTTTATATTTATCTAGGCCAGTTATATAGATACTTATTAATATGTATCTATCCATCGTATTTCATGTGTGCTTACACACTCAGCTTACTGTCATGAATATTTATTTATTTATTTATGAGACTTATATACCGCTTTAAGTGCAAGCACTCTCTAAGTGGTGTACACCAGTAAGCAATGTATATATATATTTACATTGCCCCCAACAATCTGGGTCCTCATTTTACCTACCCCAGAAGGATGGAAGGCTGAGTCAACCTTGAGCCGGTGAGATTTGAACCGCTGATCTGCTGAACACAGTCAGCTAAAGTGGCCTGCAGTACTGCACTCTAACTGCTGCGCCACCTCGGCTCCTCCTCCTTCCTATATTGGAATTATATGATGTTTTAAAACTTTCCCTTATTCTTAAAGAATTTTCAGTCCCTTATTCTATCATTATGGGAAGTAGAAAAGTGATGAAGAACAGAAAAGATGGAGCTTGTTTGTCAAAAATAATCTTTGTTCTTTCTCCCCACCCTAGGTGGTTGCCAAACGTGCCTATATGGCTGTGGGATCCCTCACCATAAATGCAGAGCGTTCAGAAGTGGTAGATTTTTCTGTTCCCTTCATTGAGACAGGAATCAGTGTAATGGTGTCACGAAGCAATGGAACAGTCTCACCTTCTGCCTTTTTAGGTAAACCATTATTTGGAGGCAAAATGCAGAGAAAAATATGTTGGCAGCTCTTTTTTTGATTAAATAAAAAAGCATACATTTATATGCAATCTTGGATTTGTTGAAGTTCTAGCTTGAGTTAAATTCAGGAATCAACACCCAATAAGAGAATAAGAAATTAACTTAGAAATACTAGATATTTCTAATGAATAGAATTGTATAACTATATTCAAATAAATGTTTTCAGTTTTTCTTCTACCTTTACTTCCTTAAGCCTGGTAGATAGATAACTTTTATTGTCATTTTTTACTGTGGGCACACATTAAAAATGAAATTTAGTTGCTTGCTCTCAAAGTGTACACATACACAACACACATTTAAACATCCTATATACCAGAAGTCCCCAAACTTTTAGGCACCAGGGATCGGTTCTGTGGAGAGAAGTTTTTCCGTGGACTGGAATGTGTGGTTTTGTGTGCTGCCTGCATCTTGCAGATGGGGCTTTGCTTGTTTGTGTGGACCAGTTGCTGGCATGCTATGGCCCAGTACTGGTCCATGGACTGGGGGTTGGGAACCCCTGCTATATACAACATATGTATAGACATACACCCTTACATATAAATAACATATAAATATTAATCACTGTCCATCTTGAATACATAACGGAAGGAAGAAGCTTTAGAGTTCACAAGGTTAATATTGTATGGAATGAAACTGTGACTGAATCTGGATGTTCTGCTTCGGATACCATGGAGCCTCATCCCAGAAGGTAACAAGGAAAACAGGTTGTAAAGAGGATGTGTAGTGTCCCAGACAATCTTATGGCCCCTGCTCAAGGAACGCTTATATGCTATGTCCTGGATGGAAGGGAGGAAACTGCCAATCATTTCTTTTCAGAAATCTTCTGACAATAAGATTTCTAACTGTTTTGATGGTAACCTCAGAAATATGCCATGCAGAAATATTACTTTGTCTTGTATATAAAGAAATGCAGAAGTTTATTTTTGGAATATAGCAGTCTATTTTGGGAATTTATAAAACCCATTTTGGCAAAGCTCTCAGAGCAAAATACAATGATATAGTAATAATTTTTTTTTAAGTTTCCCAAATGTCTTTGGGAGTTCAGTAGCACGCAAGTCTCTTAAATACATAAGAGTAAATGTATCATCAAAATAATTTAGATAATCCCTAAAAATGTTGCATATTATAGCATTATAAGGAGTCTATTAATTATTTCAATTAATGGAAAAACCCTAAGCCAGACATGTTAAACACAAGGCCCGGGGGCTGGATGCAGCCCACAAAGTGATTTCATGTGGCCCGCGAAGCCATCCTGGAAACAGTGAGGGAATGGCCCCCGCTGCCTTGGCCCAGGCTGGCCGGGAGCCAATGTACAATTTTGTGGTGGCCATCTATGCTCCACAAGGCTGTCTGGAAACAGTGAGGAACCAGCCCCTGCCACATTGGCCCCACCCCCTGGGTGCATGCTGGGGAGGTATCACCCTTTGTGAGGAATGAAGAAATGCAACATCGCCTGGAAGTGGCCAGCAAATGGCCCTCGCCTACTTCACATATCTGCCTTGATGGGCTCCAGGGGAGGGGTTTCGGCAGGCAGCAGAGCACTCTCCTCACAGCGCCAAGAGGCTGAGCTGGGTGGCGCAAATCTGATGAGAAGTGCAATGCTGCCTAGCCCCCAGCCTGCCATCTTTCAGCAGGCAGCAAGGTGCAAAGCTGGTGAGCTTCGCACCGCCCGGCTCAACCTCTCGGTGCTGTGAGGAGAGTGCCCCGCTGCCTTCCTGCGTTTCTTGCCTGTTTTTCTCCCTCCCTCATCTCAAATATTTTCCCACCACTAGGTACTTAGGAAGGAAGAAAGGAAAGAAGGAGAGGGACGGTCCGAGGGAAGTCCTGTCTTAGTCCTGCCCTGCTGCCCTTTCACCATCCACGTCCCCTCCTCCTGGCCTATCCTGGGGGTCTCCCATTCTATTGCTAAGGAAGCTTTGGATACAAAGCTGGGTCTCCTCCCATGCAGAGGGAATGGGCTCCCTCTGACTTTGCCCCCGTATCCATCATGAGCAACCTGGCTAAGGAGAGCAAGCACAGCAGCAGCAGCCTTGAGGAGGAAGTAAATGCAGCTGGGTGCCCCCTTGGGGAAGTGGGGCTGGGCTTGGTGCTATGGGTGCTTGAGGGCCAGGCTGGGTATTTGACCTCTGCTGCCCAGGGTTCCGGGCAGCCCGCACCACCATCCAGCTCCCCCCACATGGCCTGAGAGGAACAGTGAGGCTCCTCCAGCGGACCATGCCTTGGCACTTGCCCTGGTCCCACCCCCTTCTGCCAGGGTCCCTCAGATCTGTCCCACTACTACCCAGGCCCCCATGGGCACCCTTGATGCAAACAGTGTAGAGCTGGCCATGCCCAGCCAGTAGGCCACACCCACTTCATCCACACCCACCCAGTAGACCACATCACCCTGGCTACACAAACCCAGCCCCCCAAGGGCAACTGCAATGCTGATATGGCTCTCAATCAAATTGAGTTTGACACCCCTGCCCTAAGCTATCACCCTGGTGATAGGAACTCTAGGATCGATAAAGCCTTGGTCCTAAGCAGTTGTCACTATACATTAGACAATGGTGGAATTTAAAGTAGGATTCACTCTGCAAGTTTCAGCACATAAACAATAGAATATGGTATTTTGAGTATTCAATCCTCAAAATGCTCAGAACTTAAATGTTATAACCTGTACTTTGAACTTAATTTGGAAGTACTCTGGAAGTATCACGAACAGCCATGAAATCACAATTTCTATATAAAAGGCCTGTTAGCAATGACAACAGCATTCCAAGCCCTCTTTCAAAAGCAGCCCAAAACAGCACATTCAAATTCTGGCCATTCTTTGATTGCTGGAAGCCACACTTGACATTTCATACATGGGACAGAATTTTCTAGTCGTAGATATTTAGAATTCTTCTTTAAAAAGGTAAGGTTTGGGGCTGTATTCAGACCAGATTCCTTATATTCTCAATCTTTGCAATAATTTTGCAAAAAGTGTGTGTGTGTGTGTGTGTGTGTGTGTGTGTGTGTGTGTGTGTATTTGGGTTGCTAACAAAGAATAAAGAGAGAACTGGGATAGCTATTTCGAGTTCTCTCTTTAGTCTTTGTTAGCAACCTAAAAATGCAAAATGATGTCGCAGTTGGCGACTGCTGCTTGTGGATGGCTCTGGATTGAGCTGATACAGGCAAAAGAAAAGATAAGAAAGAAGATTTCTTTCTCCCATATTTGGGCTGACAGGGTGCACACTTAAGGTAATATATATATATATATATATATATATATATATATATATATACACATACACACACACACAAAAACAAACAAACAAACAAACAAACGAAAAAACGAACACCAGGATATAATAAACCAGCCTGTTTAATATAAACAAGCCTGTGGTTAAGAAGAGTCACTAAGCTTTTGTCCGGCCAAAACTGCCGGCGTCATCAGAGTTGGAATAGGAGGACATCGGGAAGGCAGCTCATATAGCCTCCTGCCTCTGCACCCGGCTCCTTGAGCGCGTCATCGGCCCGTTGATTGTATTAATCTGTATCGCGCAGAGTTGTTCCACATCAGGCAAACTGTCCTTGGCTCCACTGGTTGTTTTACAATCCTCAAGTGCTCTTTTAGAGTGTGTGCAAGCACTTGGAGAGTGGCTGTCAGTCCCTGCGCCCAGTCCCCCTCCCTCCCAGGGCCATTATCCTCCCCCACCCCCAAGGCCATTGTAATTCCTCCACTCCTGTCCTGCAACAAAAAGGGCATGGTATACGAACAAATAAAAGGGACACCAATGGGATCCCCCATCTCAGACATTATTGCTGAGGCAGTTCTTCAGTGGCTAGAGTCAATAGTTATGTCTAGGTACTGCCCAAAATTTTGGGCGTGTTATGTAGATGATACTTTTGCGATTGTCAAAAGATGGGATAGTGTCAAATTCTTGGAGGAATTGAACTCGGTATATCCAGACATCTGCTTCACCGCAGAAAAAGAAACCCAAGGCAGTCCTGCCTTTCTGGATGTACTGATCAGCTGACACCCCAATGGCACATTGTGCACATCTGTATACTGCAAACCCACCCATACAGAAAGAATGCTACATTATAATAGCAACCACCTGGTAGCACACAAAATCAGCTGTATCCGGACGCTATTTAAAAGGGTTAATTCCCATTGTAGCACAGGCAGAGCGAAAGCCGAGGAGAAAAAACATCTTCATCACATCTTCATGCGCAATGGCTATCCCATGGGGTTTGTGAGACAGCATAGTAGACCATATCGAAATCATAGAGACTCACGCTCCAATGTGACAGCAATGCCGGCCACACGAACAACCCTCCCTTACATCCCTGGTGTCTCTGAGGCTGTTGGCCCCCTACAATGTGAGCATTGCCCATAGGCCCGAGCACACCCTTAGGTCCAAGGTCATGCATCCAAAAGAACCTCTCCCCAACAGTCAAAGATCATCTGTGGTTTACAGAATTAATTGCACAGACTGTGCAAACAATTACGTTGGGGAAACTACTAAAAGGCTGAGGATCAGGGTTCATGAACATGAACTGGCTATTAGAAGGCAGGAGCAATGCTCACAAGTGTGGGCCCATATGTCCAGCTCTGGCCACACGTTCGATCTAACGCAGAGGTCATAGCTCATGAGACTACCAAGGGTGGCCGCCTACTCAAGTAAATTCCATCAACCGGCATATAGATCTTTTGCTGGCTTACCAGACTCTTAGGAGATGGGAAAAACAGCACCTTGGCCTGATGAGAAGACATTTTACTCCTCCTTGGCAGGATTGGGGTGGTAAAATGATGGATGAGATGGGCATGATCTCTAAGGAAGACGATGACAGTGTTTTGCACAATTGGGATGATGGCTCTATAGGTGGGACCACCACGACTCCCATGGACCGAGATGATGGACCAAATGGACCTAAGACAGGGATGGAAGTGCTGAGGCGATCTGGAAGGAGGGGGAGGGAGGGGGAAGACAGAGAGCAGGAATGCTGGAACAGCTGCTTGTTGCAGGATAGGAGCGGAGGAATTACAATGGCCTTGGGGGTGGGGGAGGATAATGGCCCTGGGAGGCAGGGGGACTGGGTGCAGGGATGGATTGACAGCCGCCCTCCAAGTGCTTGCACACACTCTAAAAGAGCACTTCAGGATCGTAAAACAACCAGTGGAGCCAAGGACAGTTTGCCTGATGCGGAACAACTCTGCTTGATACGGATTAATACAACCAATGGGCCGATGACACGCTCAGGGAGCCGGGTGCCGAGGCAGGAGGCTATATGAGCTGCCTTCCCGATCTCCTCCTATTCTAACTCTGATAACACCGGCAGTTTTGGCCGGACAAAAGCTTAGTGACTCTTCTTAACCACAGGCTTGTTTATATTAAACAGGCTGGTTTATTATATCCTGGTGTTCGTTTTTTCTTTTATTTGTTAACATAATGCCCAGGATTCACATTTTTAGTATTTTAAAATATATATATATATATATATATATATATATATATATATATATATATATTATATATATATATATATATATATATATATATATATATATATATATATATATTTGTTTTGTTTTCCGAACAACCAAAGACCTATAGGCAGGAGCAATGCTCACAAGTGATGTCACAGTTGTGACTGCTGCCTGTGGATGGCTCTAGTTTGAGCTGATACAAGGCAAAAGATTTCTCTCTCCCATACAACAGGGTGTAACATACAGCATTCTATATATATATATATATATATATATATATATATATATATATATATATATATGTGTGTGTGTGTGTGTGTGTGTGTGTGTGTGTGTGTGTGTGTGTATGTGTGCGTGTGTGTGTGTGTGGCCTCTTCCACATGTTTCCAACCAATACAGTGCTGAGCTTTCTTTATTGATATATATATTATTAATGGTCTATTATCATATATAGTATATATGATATATGTATGAAAATAGGCCATTATGTTTTTTCTACAAAAATGGTGCATTTTCTTCACTAGCTAAATATAATGAAAGATGCTCCCATTTATTGCTTTATACTGGACCACCTAAAATTCAGTCCAAATCCAACAACATCCTGACACTCTGAATTCTATTCTTTGGAAACAGAGCTATTTGTTCCAAAATAGATCACATCATTAATCATTGGTAGACTTTTCTATTGATCTATATTTCAGTTTTATCTTGATGAAACTTTCAATGTTTTAATACTTCACCTATCCCAATTTCCCAAATATTGATTTAGAAGTTTTGCTGCCTTCTAGGAATTAGATAGAAAGAGAAACATAATCATATATCAAGATAACTTTTCTGGGAAATCCAGTGACTTATTCCAAGTTTATAAACCAAAAGCAAGCAGGAGAGAAAAAAAGACTTTTTGGTATATAGGGGTAGAATGTCATATATGTTCCCAGATCCAGCCAGAATAGTAAATTTAGAATGCTAATGTGATTAATGACACTGAAAACTGCTAAGAAGGTTATCAATAGGATATATTCCTCTATTTTCCACAAACTTTTATTTGTGTTTAAGTTTCTCTGGATCCTTTTTCTACTTCTGCATTTAGTTTAGTTAAAAACACAAAATTGGAGATTGAAAAAAATGACAACCCTATGATTAAGTAGGTCTTCGTGATTAATGTAGGTTCAGGCAGGATGCTGAGATTGCTGCAATTTGGGAAAGTCAGATAGCAGAATGTAATACTGAGTGGATATTTTAGCTTTGTATACATTTCAGCATTCATTTTTATAAAAGCCAACTTCAAATTCTTACGGGGAAGAAATAGTTGAAAACATATAGGTAATATCAAATATATTTTTTGCTAAAGTATAGCTTAATGGGGCTAGTCCCATAAATAGTAGATCTAGAATAATGCAACAGATGAGGGTGGAGGTTCGTTCTCTGAGCTTGTGGGTTGATTTCCAAACATTTTGTTACCAGGCTAGGAAACATCTTCAGTGTAGTTTAGGGGACCACGCTAAAGATGTTATCTAACCTGGTAACAAAACGTTTAGAAACCAATCCACAAGCTTGGAGAACAAACCTCCATCCTCATCCTACATCCGAACTACAGATATTCGCCACCATCGCATAATAGACATATAAGAAGACCAACTCAACATGGTTTAGTCACGGTGAGGTTTGATTCACAACACTTTAAATGATATATAAAATTTGTCTATAAGTTTAGTCAAGCTATTTTAGAAGATATAATTAGATGTCTAGTGGTTTGCAGTCGGGAATCTGCTGGAAAGGTTCCTGTGAAATAATTACCTGTCCTTTTCTGTCCAGAGCCATTCAGTGCTGATGTGTGGGTGATGATGTTTGTAATGCTGCTTATAATCTCTGCGGTGGCTGTCTTTGTCTTTGAGTACTTCAGCCCTGTGGGATACAATCGGTGTCTGGCAGATGGCAGAGGTAAGGAGACACATATTTTATCATGCAATCTTTATAATCCACATTGGATAGAAAGATACTTCTTTTCCATTGATATACATGTCAACCATAGTTGGTGTCAATTCTTAGTGACCACATAAATAGATATTTTCCAGGAGTCAGCCATGTACAGATCTTTTCCTTCATGCCTAAAGGGAAAAAAAAGAATAGTAACTCGACAAACAGCAGCAAATCTGGATGGATCTCTTGGGCTGATAAAGCATTTCTGCAGCTCAAGATACTGAAATGTTCATTTCTAACAAGATTAGAAACTAAAAGCTAAATTCACTGCATATGTTTTGGAATGTTTCTAAAGTAAAGTCATTATTGTCAAATTGAAATATTAATTTAGCTGGAGGTACTAACAAGTATATAACATTTTCCTGTTTTGTTATATTGCATATTATTTGTATCCCTAATTACTTGATGAACATTTGAAAGCTTTTAGTAGTTTTCCTGCCTTGCTTCTGTTGATCTTCCCAAGTATTTTCAAACTAATGCAGAAATGGAATGAAATAAATTCAAAAGATGAAAAATGTACTGAAACTCTACAATAGTGGGGAAGGGGAGAAGTAAAAAGGAAGGGAGCAAGACTGACCAGTTGATTTATGATCAGAGGACTAAGGCAGATACTAGATCAGAGGAACAGAAGTGGGTGCTACTGTGGTTTCTCTAAACTGTTAAATGGTCCTCTCTTTAGCATGTTCTGTTTATCTCTAGGACAGTAGTACTAACATATTTAGAAAGAAATGTTACTGGAATATCTTTTCAGATGCTTACTGAATTTGCCATAAGCAGATTTGTGTCACCACCTTTCTACATCTTGAAAAAAAGACAGTTGTAATAAAATTTTAGCCAAATCCTAAAATAAAGCAATGTTATAGTTGTGTATTGTATGTGTGACTAGCAAACACTGTATTTCTTGATAGAAAACAATGTGTTTAAGATTATTCTCATGTTATATAAGTGTGTATATAATAATGTGGCTATAGTACAATGTATCACATCTAGGTTGTTCAGCAAGTCATTGAAAGGAATGAGTACACCATACCTCTGTGCATGGCTTTTATTGACTATGAAAAGGTGTTTGATTCAGTATTCCAACAAGCAATAATGCATTGCTCAACCAAGGCGTAGACACTGCTTACATAAATTACCACACTCAATATATGAAAAAACAATGGCAACAATTTGCCTTAATGATCTTAAAGTGGAAACCAACATAGAACAAGGTGTATGACAAGGCAATACAATATCACCTATCCTTTTCTCAGCCTGACTTGAAGAAGTATTTCACAAACTAGTCTGGGCAAAAGATGGAATATATACTGCTCAAAAAAATAAAGGGAATACGTCCTATAAGAAATCCTATAGGATGTGGTCCCTTTAATTTTTTTTGAGCAGTATAAATCAAAGTGCCTATTTAAATCACTTAAGTTTTGCAAATAATGTTGTTCTCTTCTCACAAGACCCAGAAGAGCTACAAAGACACATGTAAGAGCTGCACAAAGCAGGAGAACCATTTGGCCTAAAAATAAACCTAAAATAAAAGCAGTTTAATGTATTTTAATAAATATACTAAAGAAAGAACAAATTTTATATCTGGAGAAGAACTAGGTGTAGTAGACCACCACATGTACCTTGGCCAATGGATCTCAATGGAAGATGATACAATAAAGGAAATTGAATGGCATGTTAAATGTGGCTGGTAGGCATTTGGCAAGCTAAGTGTAATTTTCAAGAAAAACCTCCCTCTATGCCTGAAGAGAAAAGTTTTCAATCAGTATGTGCTACCTGCTCTAACATATGCCGGTGAATCACTAACCTCACAATCGATAGAAAAGCTATGTGTGGCGCAAAGAGCCATAGAAAGATACATGTTTGGCATTACAAGGCAAGATGGAAAGACCTGCACATGCATTAAAGAACAAATGAAAGTATACAATATCATCAAGAGAGTAAAAGAATTGCAATGGAAATGGGTTGGTCACATAGCAAGAAGAACTGATGGCAGCTGGACCAAGGGAGTCATAGAATGGATCCCACTTGATTAAAAACATCCACAAAAGAGACCTAAAGCAAGATGGATTGATGACATCAGCAAGTATCCGGGCCCAAACGGCAAAAGAAAGCTCAAGACTATATTGGTTGTAAACATGCAGAAGAGGCCTTCATCCTGCAGTGGATAGACAATGGCTAAAATGATGATGATGATGATGATGATATAATATTATAAATTTTCAATTCTTAACATAATTACTAACTTTCATTTATTTTTAGGTTGTAGTTAGGTAATAGTGTCTACAATTTTCTCAGAATTAATTGCTCCAGAAATGGTTTAGTGGTTTATTTCAAAATAATATGTTTGAAGATTCTGTGAAACTTCCATCCACTCCTTTGTAATCCTATATAGTAAAATTTTTAAGGTATTGGTTCTCTGTGTATTCCATGAAAACCTATTTGGACTACACTCCTTACATAATGTGGTCACTGAAATAATGTTATGCTTTAGATTCTAAATTTCTATAAATGTTGCACTGCAGCTACGGGCAAAAACAAATAAGCATGTCAAAACCTTATGCTAACATTTTTTATTTTATGATAAAATAAATATTTATTTTTGAAGGAAGGTAGTTGCATAAATATGCTATGTTGTGAGAAAATGTGTTTCAAATCTTAAACTTAACTTTTTGTGCATATTAAAATTTTTGCATAGTAAGGTAAGAAGTGGAACAAAATAAGCTAACAAATGAAGGTGCGGAAAACCCATGTAAACCAAAAGCAAGCAATCCATCACCTGTGATTGGTCATGAAACGTTTCTTATCAGCATCTGATAACTGTTTAGAAAGCATTAAGGGCAAGGTAGACCATAGTGTGATCCCTAAAGGCATTTCATTTGTTTTTAAAGATAAATATGCATTCAAAATCCTAATCATGCTTGTATCATCAGACTCCCAGCACAGGCTTTTATTTTAAAAAAAATGTTGATAGCACACGGAATTCTATACTACATAACTCTGAAGTAATGCACAATTTTCAATAGTGTTTCAGTGTAATAAACAAGTAGGAAGTCTACAATGTTGCAGTATTTCTTTTCTTTAAATGGCCTATACTTGTATATTCAGATTTTAAAAATGCAAATTACCAGCCGCTAGATAAATTAATTTGTATGCAAAAATTAATGTTGATGAAAAACCTCACTGTTGAATTTTCAAAAAGCCATGAAATGCAAAATCAATGTTTCTCATAATAACATCTCATCTGAATTGCATACAGAGGAGCCAGATTTGTCATTAGATACATTCATTCAATTCTTATTGAAAGTCAGTCCAAGTTGCTGCATGTATTAATAGTATGGTGAATAGACACTAGGGAATTGGTTCAACTAAATTCTGTACAAATAAAGAAAGGAAAACTGTGACTGAAAAAAATCTTGCTTGCACAACCATTCCTTTACACCATGAGTAAGTATAAAACTATGTGGACTTTGTAAAAAAATCATTATATGAAGTGATACAAGAATGTATAAGAAGATTCATGTCAAATAGCTTATTAGTAGGCAAGCAGCAAGCAAAAAGACCACCAACTGCCTTGACAAAACTTACAGTTGAGGGCAACAGAATGAAGAAAAGTAGAATGTTGTTGCCTAGTTACAAGGAGAAGAATCCAGCACTTCTACCCCCTTCATCATAAAACCCTTCATATAAATGTAATCCCAGTAACAACTATATGCTTCATATTGATGACATTGTTTTTATCTTGTAGTTCACTGAAAGGATAATTCTGGCTCAAATCATAATGACATTGTAGGTGCCAATTTTTTTTAAAAAAATGAAGGACATTTTTTCATGTGTGTGTATTTTTTTATGTATGTAAGTATCAGTATATCTCCATAGTCATTACACAATCTGTATCATTTTGAAAATATATTTCCTTATGGGAGTATTTCTAAATATCTAAGAAAAATATTATGAGAAACATATCTGTCTTTCTGTATTATAATGAAAAGTGCTAAGAGTAGCATAGCATATTTGTATCTGGTTTATGGCTTGACTTGCACATACTGTAAATCCCTGCCTACCAATTATTTACGGTAAGTTGCTGGAATGACTTGCAGTTAGTAGTTTTTCAGGGTTTATAATAATCCCTATTAATACAAAACAAAGTGATATTTTTTCTGTTCTTGGTCCTTTTATCCTTCTTTGGGGTACTTATAATGAATTGCATTTATCTTCCCAACAGTCCAGGGTTTGATGATTAGGATGCCAGTGACTGGATTATCCAATAAGCCTCTCAATCCAAATTTCAATTTCATTGGACTGTCTTAACTCCAAGTTCATGTTTCTATTCACTAATTGCTTTTGAATGACCTACCCAATTTTTCTCACGGCAACTATTCCATTTTAGGATTGTCACATTTCCAATTATAATATCTTGTGTATGCAAAATGTGTTTTCTTTATTTATAAGTGTGAATAATGTATGAAAGATATCTCTTAATAACCAAGAAAATATGTTAGTTCAGCCTTCCCATCTGATACACTCAGATATATCAAGCTTCCAACAACCAGATTTCTAGTTATTTTGGCCATCAGTCATGTTGGTTGTGAGAGCATATTTCTAAGCACCAGGTTACAAAAGCTTGTCAACAATTGATGGAGAAGAGTTGTAAAAAAGAATATATGCACCTGCTTTATGCAATGTATTCATTCAAGTAGATGTTAGAATACATAAACTCTTAAAGGAGAATATTTGTAACTCAGAGTCGAAATGAGGGGCTCCTTGATACTCACTGAGCTTATTGGTTTTTTTTGCAGATGTTTCATTACCCAAAATAGGTAACATCATCAATGTACAGACGATGTTACATCGTTTCAGTAATGATAGTCTGCAAGAAAACAACCAAGCTCAGAGAGCACCAATGACCCCTCACAAACTCTTAAACAAGCATAGACTGTTATTGCAACACATGGAATGACTTAACAAGTTCTGTCATGTATGAACTACTGCCTAATGAGTATAACTAGATCAGACTGCTGATTTTAATTTAAATCATATTTAATGCTGAGATTGTATTTCTGTGACCACATTCAAGAATATGTTGTATGAGAACTATCGAGCTAACCTGTTAGTACATAAATTATGCTGCAAGCTAATGCAGCTCCTTTGGATTAGAATTGACTTTTATCACAGTCTTATCACAGTCTTAGTCAACAGCATAACATCTGATATTGGAGAAAAGCTAAAAATTCATTTCATTCATTACTTAGAATAATTTGTTGTGCTAGTTGTCTCACTCTTTCTATTATATTTTGCTCGTTTCAGAGCCTGGTGGTCCATCTTTCACTATTGGTAAAGCTATCTGGCTACTGTGGGGCCTTGTATTCAACAACTCTGTGCCAGTGCAGAATCCGAAGGGGACTACCAGCAAGATCATGGTATCAGTATGGGCCTTCTTTGCTGTCATCTTTCTGGCCAGTTACACTGCCAATTTGGCTGCCTTTATGATCCAAGAAGAATATGTTGACCAGGTGTCTGGACTGAGTGACAGAAAGGTAATCCTCTGCCCCCCACCAAGCAGTTTGTTTTTCCTCTACTTAAATTGGCATATATTGTATCTTTTTAACAATGATAACATACAGCATGAATGGTATGTTATAATATTTAACATATTATAGGAATTGTGTAACAAATGATTCTTATTACCTATGACCTATGGGACTGAGCTTCTCTAAAACCAACTTTCTCAAACAGATAGAAGAACTTATTTGGAAAGATTATGAGAACCACAAACTATTTGTTGAGAACTTCCATAGTAACAGATATTACACTTATCCTATTTTAATTCATAGCTAATCAACGTGATTTATCCACATACATATAATACATGAAGTAGTAATATAAGGAAATGCATTTCAAGTTTTTCACAGAATTTGCAAATTCAACTTTATTCATTTTAATGTTCTTGCACTTTCTAAGTAAAACTGACTTGTTGTAAAGCTATGAATCTTTAGTTATCAATGTGTGAAAAATCCTGCCTTTTTTTCCCTACAGTAACACTTAATTGAAAGTGGAACTGCTTAAAAATATGGATAAAGCTGCAGAATGTGTTTCTTATTGATTTATTTTTCCCCTATTGATTATCAATTCTTCTGTAATTTCCTATAAGAGAAATGTTTTAAAATATAGTAGATTGATTCTTAAGCAAGTGTAGTAACAGGATGAGGAGACGAGAGCAATGCATTTCTTTTCCGCATTATAAGTAGGTTATAAAAGATAAGGGCCATGTATGCTTAAAAATGAATTCCCATAATTTTCTTAACCTCTTTCTCTTGCATGAAATGAGATCAATTTCAGTTTCATTTTAGTATGGTCAAATACCAGCATAAAAACCAGAATCAAACAAACAACAATATCATGAAGGAAATAACAATTTTTCTTTGTATGGGTGTGTGGTATTCTAATATGCTATTAATATTAAGCTAAAATATTTAAAACTTGATCTAAGAATAATCTAAAAACTCAGAATAAAATTATGATGTTTAAAATTATGATTATATGCCTAGCTAAAAGTAAATGGCAGGAGTTTAAAAACACCATACTCCACTGATATTACTAAAAATCTAAATTGAGTGTTAGATTTAGTTCAAAAGGTCATAATAGGATTCTTTTATTCCACCACTGGATGTTTCTATTTCAGTCAATGAATCCTGCAAGCTGAGAATGTCAATACACACCTAATTTTAATATAGTAGCATTATGGCAGAATTTAGAAACATCCAAGGAAATGGGGTACAATTGGAATCTGATCAATTCCACATGGCATGCAGAAAGGGATAAAGAGAAAACATGACTTGCTTTTTCGTATCTAATATGAAGTACAAAGAGGAAACTTGTATATCTCCCACTAGGTTATGGGTTTATGTGTTTCAGCCACAGAGCTGATTCACATGCTAAATGATGCATGATGTGATGGAATGTGCACCTGGAAAAGCAGTGGGGAGAGTTTTGGCAACACAGAGCTTTCCCAGAGAGGAGCCCAGATTAAGAGACTGCACAGTCCTGAGCAGGATAGGGGATAGAGCAGTGGTTCTCAACCTGTGGGTTGGGACCCCATTTGGGGTCGAACGACCATTTCACGGGGGTCACCAAACAAGGCTGTCCGCCATTTTTTTCCCCTTTTCTTTGGCCACGCCCCTAGCACCCGGTGATGTATAAGTGGTTGGGGGTCACCATAACATGGGGAACTGTATTATGGGGTCGCGGCATTAGAAAGGTTGAGAACCACTGGGATAGAGGAAGAGATTCAGCATAGCCACACCCTAGATTCTTTCAGGATATACTATATCCAGTAGGTTATAAAGTTATAGCTTTAGTTGGCAAGATTCTGTCCATTAGGTTTAAGCAAATAAAGGACTGGACTCAACTGGATCTTGCTGTGTCATCTTTGGACTTAGGCCTAACACACACATATTGTTGGGCAAATTAAGTATATGTCGTTTGTGTCCAGTTGTTGATTCCCATAATTATTTCTAGGAATTTAAATATGTGGAAAAATGTTTTGAACAATGACCACTCAAACTGCTGCTTTTCTTAATTACATATTCATTGCACAGAAAACAGGTTTTTGTTTCTGTAAATAACATACAATGCATACAAGTATTAATGTTATGTCTAGATGTATTTGGTGACACTTAACTCAGACAGTCATGTATAATTGTTTGGTTGGGTGTTTTTTAATGCATTTTTAATATTGTATGTGCTCTTGGTATTGGGCAACCTTATAGATTTGATAAATTTATTGTGACATAGTAGATTTCATTACCAGAGGGTTTTGGAGATATTTTAAATAATTTATGTGATAGACTTAAAACTGAATTCTGGTTGAATAGAATTTGAGTCTAGGAAACTGTTCGTGTGAACTATTAGCCAACTTTTTAATCTTTAGGCAATACTGTTCTTGTGAAGCGATAGCACAGTTTAATTAAAATTGGATGCAAGCTCCTGTTCTGATTAGAAATTCAGCATTATCATAGAATTTGGCTGCAGCCTGAATTCTTAAAAATTCTGGTTAATGCAGAGAATGCATATATAGTGATCTCCTTGGCAAATTATTGAAGCTATTTTGTAATTTTTACTTTCAGTAAACATGTATGAACTTGTGGAAGGTTCATTTATCAATGTGATTTTTGATAATAAGGCCAACTTCCTTTAATCTTGGTATTTTGAATTTTCATTTAATTTTAAAAATAACTGATTAATTATTTCTGTTCTTATCCTCAATCCAATTGTCATGAGATTGTCAGGGTCACATGATATACTGCATTATTAATTTTGGACATTAGAACAGCCAGTTTAAAATTCAAAATGTTGGTTTTAACTATGGGAGTACTTTTTTAAAAAAAGGATTCTCCCTGGGGGCTGTAAAGAGACATTCCAGCTTGGAATCAGTTTGGGAGACAAAACATTTGAGGTCAAACTTTTAGGTCTATATCTGCCATTTCCCAAGAGAAGGCACACAGTCTGGTGAGATTTTTGTAATCTAGGTGATCAGCAATAAAATATCTACTTGGGCCTATTCATGAGTGGTTCTCGTTGCTTTCACCTGACAAGATTCAGATCCATATAAATAGTTTTGTCATACATAAAATCTAAGGGGAAATGGGTGGAGAGAGAAAATAGGAAACAGATTAAAGAAAAAATGGAGGTATGGATTCCATTGAAATATTAAAGTGAATCAAGGAGAATAACAAGTACAACAGAAGATTATTTATTCTGCTTATAGATAATCAAACCATAAAAGTGGCTTTGTGAACAATAATAATATGTCTCATTACCACCATAAAGGTGTTCTACTGGGGGAGCAAGTGTGTCTGTGTAAAGCATTAATTGCTACTTTTATTGATTTCAGGTGACTTTTACCTGATCATGCATAACCTTTCATAAATACCTTTCATGAATTGAGCTGACTCTTATTCTACTATACATTATATTATAATATATACTAAACTGCAGTTTTCCAAAAATAATTCATTTTTGGATTTCCATTAATTGGTTCAATTCAACAGGATTACCAATACTTTACACAGTCCTAATTTCTCTGGGCTGTCTAAAGCATATTAAATTTCCTAGTATTAGATGCTCAAAATATTTAATTGACATCTCTAGTCTCAAAAGCAGAAATGAGGTTCTTATACTATATAAAGAATAGATTTTGTTGTGAACATAAAGGATTTCTTTTTTTTTTTTATTAAAGAGTTTTATAAATTTTACAAAAAATAAGAAACAATACAAAAACAAAAAACAACATATACATAAAGGATTTCTTTAGATTCTTTCTTTATTCCTTAGGTCCCATCGGTTCGTAAATGCAGTTGGGCATCAATTACCTTCAGTGTTACAAACATAAAGTTTGTGAAGAGTTAGTGTGTACACTCAAGCTTACAGTCAAAGATATTTGAGTTTGGGCATCATATGCATTTCTGCATTTTATTTTCATTAGACTACAGAGCTGGATCTGAGATTTGGTAAATGGGACTAATTGCAGGCTGCAAATTATAATAACTAATATAGCTATTACTCTCCCAGCTAATGTTCTTGCTAATTTGCTAAAGCATTATTGCTTCCCCCCCCCCCAAGAATTTGATTCTACAGTTCCCTTTAGAGTAACTGCATGTATTGGTTCAAGATAGGATAGGATAGGATAAACCTTTATTTTCATTATTTTATATACACAATAGCACACATTAAAATGAAATTCCAATGCTCTGCTCTCAAAAGAAGGAATACCATCCACTGAACAATGTCACTATCCAATGTTACCATTATTATATATGGAGTTTTACCTTACTTTGAGCTATTTCTAATATAACTCTTGAGTACTGGAGATAAGGGACTTACTCTGTACTACTTTATATAGTAATGAAATGTACCAGGATATTCTACAGTAGGTGATTCTGATCTCTTCCATTGCCCCTAGCACTGCATTTCCAAGTTTTACTGATCTTACACTGATTTATAGACTCACCATAACATTTGCTTTTAGTGTAGTTTTGTTCCTTTAGAAAGATGCTACGATGTATACTATAAACTTTTTTTCTCTGGCAAGACACACACACACACACACACACACACACACAGCTTGATTTTACTTGTATTAGAGATTTAAAGGAAGCATGATTCAATTCAAATTTGTGATTTGAGGGCAAATTGATTCACACTGCTTTGAGATGCAAGATGAGATTCATAAAAAGTATTTGTCCATAGCCTATAATCAGGAAACATCAGAGTGCCTGCAGCTGTTACATTTTTTGACAGAATGGAATGGAGGGAGCTGAGATGGTAGACTCTTAGAGAATGGTAGCTCTGTCTAGTTCCAGCTGGATTTCTTCAAGACTTTTGCCATAATACTGTAACTATTCCTTTTTTGTTTTAATGGGATGGCTCAATCAAAGCTATGTTGAACTGATGCACTCCTTTGAAGATTTGCACAACCTAATATTTTTATTGAATTATTTCCAATGCAAAAACTGAGTTATCTACTGATGCATATTTTAGTAGAAAAGGATTATTTATTCTGACAGCAGAAGGGATTGATGTAATCACCAAAACAGTATCTTTTTGTATGAAAGTCCATATACTTGAATCTATTTTAGAAAGTTCTAATTTTAGCAATACAGATACAGACCACATGTTCTGCAGCAGAAATGGTTGGTTCATATATATGTTGTTACAAACATTTACCATTTCAATGCACTAGAAGCTTTTTGTGTGCTTATTGCCTTGGCCCATCATTCTTTTATTTTACATAATATTGTCTGGTTTCACTGCTAAGCAAATTTCAGTTCTTGCATTATTTGCTTGATACTACATTGGCAAAAAGTGCTACTAAGCCATGCAAAGTATTTCTGCAGTACTGAACAACTTTTCCATTTACTTAACAATCTGGCATAATTCTACCTTTTAATATTACTTTTGTGGCTCCTGGCTCAGAGCTCAATTAGGTATTTTTTCATGCCATCTTCCATATCAGTATAAGATAATATTTATAGCTCAGGACTGAACTGAGTGGTCCTTGATGCTCCTGGAGCTTGGTGGTTTTCTTGCAGACATTTTATGACCAAAGTAGGTAACAGCATCAGTGTTAGAAGGGAGTGGGGTTTACTCTTATTTTTATATTCTAGCAGCAACACTGACAGGGCAAGCCACTAGTATATAAAAGTAAGAGCAAACCCCACTCCTTCTAGCACTAATGAACAAGAAAATTGTAAGAGAACACCTACTCACTCTAGATGAGTTCAAATCACCAGGATCAGGTGAATTACACCCCAGGATTCTGAAGAAGCTTGCAGATGTGATCTCAGAACATTGAACCATATATTTCAAAAATCCCGGAGCACCGGGAACTACCAGAGGACTGGAAAAAGACTGATGTGGTTGCCATCTTCAAAAAAGGAAAACAAAATGGATCCAGGAATCTACAGACGTATCAGCCTGACATCAATACCTGGGAAGATTCTGAAAAAGATAATCAAGCAATGAATTCAGTGGTGGGATTCAGCCTGTTCGCATCACTTCAGCAGAACCGGTAGCTAATTTTTTGTTGCCCAAGCCCAGAATGGACTTCCAGAAGCAGCATCCACACAGAGAACCAGTTGTTCACATATTTGAATCCCACCACTGAATGAATTTGCAAACACCTAGAGGCAAATAAAGTCATAATTAGAAGCCAACATGAGTTTGTCAAAAACAGATCATGCCAGACAAATCTTATTGCATTCTCTGACAAAGTGACCAAATTAGTGGACTAGCAAAATGTTGTGGATATAATTTACTTGAACTTCAGTAAGGCATTTGATAAAGTAGACCACAATTTACTACTTGGTTAGACAGGATCACCATCAGATGGATTCGTAACTGGCTGATCAACTGCACTCAACGTGTAATCCTTAATGGAACATGGAGAGGAGTAGCAGTGGGTACCCCAAGACTATATGTTAGGCCCAGTACTCCTCAATATCTTCATAAATCATTTAGGTGAGGGGATAGAAAGAGAAGCCATCAAATTTACAGGCAATACCAACCTTCAGGAATAGCCAACACTTCAGAAGAAGGATCAAAATACAGAAGGATCTTAAAAGACTTGAAAACTGAACCTTATCTAACAAAATGAAATTCAGTGGTGACAAAAATAAGATTCTACACTTAGGCAAGAAAAAAAATCAAATGCACAAGTATAGAATAGATAACGTCCGGCTCAATAGTAGTAACTGCGAGAGGGATCTTGGAGCTCCAGTGGACAATCATTTAAGGAGAAACTTCCTGACAGTTAGAACAATTAATCAGTGGAACAACCTGCCTGCAGAAGTTGTGAATGCTCCAACACTGGAAGTCTTTAAGAAGAGATTGGACAGCCATTTGTCTGAAATGTTATAGGGTTTCCTGCCTGAGCAGGGGGTTGGACTAGATGACTAGATTGTTGTTGTTGTTGTTGTTGTTGTTGTTGTTGTTATTATTATTATTATATATGAGCCAACAGTGTGATGCAGCTGCCAAAAAAGCCAACACAGGCTGCATCAACAGAAGGATAGAATCAAGATCACATGAAGTGTTAATATCATTTTAAAATGCCACACTTGGAATATCCAGTTTTCTAAAGGATGTATTTGTCAGGGGCAGAAAGAACATTGGAATACAAGGTGAACCATGTTGGATAAGGATAAAAATCTAGTACTGTATTTCTTGACTCCCATCTCAGCAGGGTTGGCTCACTGATTCTGCAGCTTTTTTGGGATTTGAAAACAATAACCATACCAGTATGAGTACTTAAGGCTTTATTCCAAGGCAATATAAGCAAGTAATATAATCACATGATATGATACAATATTCAGAGAGTATATAGGAATACTGAAGAATATGATATAACCTAAAGCAGAAACCAATTAACTCAGCACTTGTTATTTGTATCCTGGCACATACAGTATTTACTCATTTTTAAGAGACTTAACCAAGCATATAGAATTTACAAGTAACAGCAGACTTGAGTCCATATTCACAATATTGAAAACAAAATTGAGTTCTGGCTATGTTCAAAGGATCAGCATAGACTTGTAATGTTGCATTAGCCCAAGGATGGTGATCTTAAAGAATCTAAAGGCCAAGGAAGTCATTAAAGCCTAAAGGAATATTACCTTGTCACCCCAAGAGAACTTTTATAGGCAGAGAGTTAACGAAAGATTAAATTGATTGGTTGAATATATTATATTGAATATGGCAATGCAACACTCGACCATTACCAGCATTCTCTCCATCTAGGAATGAAGGAAGTTTCAACACTGTATATTATCTGTAATAGCACCCAGATCACCGAATGTGCAAAGCCACCTGATTTGATTTGCTGCTTTGAAACAAGTCTGGGCTATGATTAGTGTGTCAAGATGGTTCAATTGAAGCTTTCTTGAATCAAAGCACTGTTTTACCCTACCCTAATAATTTGCCATAAATATTTTACTGTTTGAACATTATTTTGTCTGTCAGTTTTAAACCAAATACACTGCTAATGGAGTATCTTTTATGTGTTTGCAAGTGCAGCTGATTTATTTTAATCATTTTTATGCTAAAGTGCAATATTGCTTTTTTAATTTAGAAACTTGTCTCTTTGCAGAACATTAAAATTCAATGAATTTTGCATGCAATAGATACATTTCTGCTGCAATTTATTATTATTATTATTATGCAGAGGAAATCAACTGCATCAGTTTATACCATCTGCATTATATTATTACTCAAATGATATAAATTGATGAAAACTTACATGATGATACTATCAATAAATGATGTCAATCCTCAAAATGCATTATTCTGATTCAGTTGACATCTATGTAGCAGACAACCCCTCTTCATTTAATTCCACTAAAATGATACTTTATTCTATAAACCTCAGCAGCAAAGACTTCAAAGAGAGTCACCATCTCATGTTATGAACTGATAACTTCTAATATTAATGTTTCTTAAATTCTTGGAATCTAATCCATTCTCAAATAAATTACTAAAACTCTTTCTTTCTTCCTTCCTTCCTTCCTTCCTTCCTCCCTCCCTCCCTCCCTTCCTTCCTTCCTTCTTTCCATAGTTCCAAAATCCAAATGCTTTCTCACCACCTTTCCGCTTTGGAACAGTTCCCAATGGCAGCACAGAGAGGAATATTCGCAACAATTATGAACTGATGCATGCCTATATGGTAAAGTTTAACCAAAAATCGGTGCAAGATGCTTTATCGTCACTGAAGACAGGGTGAGACTGCTGCCTTCCAAATTTAGCATAAATAATAATGTTGACTATATAAATCTATCTCTTCAGGTATCTCAGGTTCTTCAAAATATTCCTTCTACCAAAATATTGCATATATTCCATTGCACACCATTGCCTAGAGGAGATATGAGGAAATTTTGAAGCATAAATATTTATATCTATTTAAGTGAAATGCAGTAAGGAGATCAGTAGTATGAAACAATGAACGCACATTGGAATGAAGACAAAATAAGGAAGTAGCGAGGAATTGGGCAGGCATATTTAGCCTTATGTACATACTGTATATGCACATGGGAAAAATCCCAGCAGGAAGAGGCAGCTACAGAGAGAAATAGACTTTCCAACAGTCTGTTAAAGAATTCAGTGGCAGACTACCAGAAGCACCATTCCCCACTCTGCTAGCACTCCACAGCAGTCCACCAAGCAGTTATTTGACAAACTGCCAGGAAGAGGGGGCTGGGATGAAATAAAGACCAAAAGCAGAGCCAGGTTTTTGGCCCAGTTAAGAGTTCTATGCTGTTTATAGTCATGAGTTGCCTACTGGGATAAACACAAAAACTTTATGGAAATATGGAAATAATAAGAACAAAATGTGAACTGAGCCAGTCAAATGGTTCAACAACTTGTCAAAATATAGCTAGTATTAAATAATGCCATATCAAACATTCCCCTTTAATCTGTGCCCCATAAACATTCATGAACTTTGTGGGCACATTAAAAGCAGACATCAGGGTAACAGCATGAGAGCCGCTCTCCCAAGAAGATTGAACACTGGATGAGGCAAAGAGAAATTAGTGTCCCACGAGTGCATGTGGGGTTTGTTTTAAAGTAAGAGATGGAAAAAGAAAGAAAAACGGGAAAAGATGCAGTAGGTCTTTCCCTGCTCTCTACGTATTTTTCAAGAAATTTACGCTCTAGGAAAGTACCAGAATAAAATGTGTGTTTTCAGGGATTAAAGGCTCTCAAAAATATAAACAGAATGATTTGCTCCATCTTTATTATGAACATAGATTTGGTGACAGAAGCTGTCTGTCTATAAATATTCAAGATCACTTCCATCTTCATGATGACATTACTTGGGCAATATAAAGCTTACCTTCCTACCCTTAAATTGAGATATAACATGATCTCCATCCACTTGTCATATTTAAAGATGCTCATGGGATTCTTCACAGGAGCAGGGGTCCTGGCCAAATCTAATTTGAGTAATTACATTTTGCTTAACACTATCTCTCCAGCTGTTTGATTGGGAAATGGTATGCTTTACTACTTTAATCACTGTGTACTTTTCCTAGGCATGTTGCCGAATTATTGCTACATGGTTTTCATAGTTAAGGAAGGGTATGTTATAGTGAATGAAAATGCTTTCAGGTTTGAGTTATGGAGGGAAGTGAAAGATGTTTTCTTTCTTGGGTTCTGAAGATATCTTTAAAGACTGGAAGATGCTGGAAATGTGCATTGATCCCATGAGTACTCAAATTTCAGTTGTGTATAAATATTTGTATTACCTGGATTCATTCTTTCTCACAATTGATTTCTAAACAGTGGTTTAATTTTATACACTTTTCTGTTATTTTTTCCTTTTTTGGGTTTTTGACATTCTATAGGAAACTGGATGCTTTTATTTATGATGCTGCTGTGCTAAACTATATGGCTGGCAGAGATGAAGGCTGCAAGCTAGTGACAATTGGCAGTGGAAAGGTCTTTGCTTCTACTGGCTACGGCATTGCCATCCAGAAGAATTCTGGCTGGAAGCGGCAAGTGGATCTTGCAATTTTACAGCTTTTTGGCGATGGTGAGTAATTTGGATAATGAAGAAAAAAGGTATTTTTACTAAGAGGGAGTAATATTATTTCATTAAACCCTCCAGTGTTTTAACTTAATAGAGAATACTCTTTCAAAGACTCTGGCCCAATGCATCATACTGAATGTTTAGTTTTATAGCCATTTATTTATTTGAGAGATTTACAGTTCAACATTTCAGTGGCAATTACCAAAGTGGCTTGTAGTCATAAACATCATTAGGAGGAGTTTTAGTAATCTCAAAGACACAAAAGCTATACTTTCTAAGTTTGTATGCCAATGTCATCAAAAGAAATTAGGAGGTAGGATGAAATAAAATAAATAAATATATTTTGTAACTATGAATACAGAATTAAGACATTAAAAAGCAAACATGCTATTTATGTCAAAGACAGTCAAATCATTTTGGCATATTTGACAGGAACTCCAACAAGTATTCCCAGCCTTTGCAGTACATAAATATCCATCATGTAATTCCTTTTTGGGTGAACAATGATATGCAAAGCACAGAAAAGATGTAAGAAGCAGTAAGCATAGAACAGCATCAGCAAGCTTGAAGTAATGCTGGATTTTGATTGTACTGACGGAACACCAACAAAATGTGTCTATGGAGATTCTCACTCATCTAGGTCATAGTTATCCCAAATGTGCATTTTAATAATAATAATAGAGTTGGAAGGGACCTTGGAGGTCTTCTAGTCCTGCTCAGGCAGGAAACCCTATACCATTTCAGACAAATGGTTGTCCAGTCTCTTCTTAAAAACTTCCAGTGTTGGAGCATGTGAATTGTTTTAACTGTCAGGAAATTTCTTTTTAGTTCTAGGTTGCTTCTCTCTTCGATTAGTTTCCATCCGTTGTTTCAGGTGCTTTGGAGAATAGCTTGACTCCCTCTTTTTTGTGGCAACCCCTGAGATATTGGAACACTGCTATCATGTCACCCTTCATCCTTCTCTTCATTAAACTAGACATACCCAATTCCAGCAACCGTTCCTTATATGTTTTAGCCTCCAGTTCCCTAATAATCTTTGTTGCTTTTCTCTGTACTTTTTCTAGAGTCTCAACATCTTTTTTACATTGTGGTGACCAAAACTGGATGCAGTATTCCAAGTGTTGCCTTACCAGGACGTTATAAAGTGGTATTACCACTTCACGTGATCTTGATTTTATCCCTCCTTTAATGCAGCTTAGCATTGTGTTAGCTTTTTTGGCAGCTACAGCACATTGCTGGCTCATATTTAAGTGATTGTCCACTAGGACTCCGAGATCCCTCTCACAGTTACTACTATTGAACAAGGTACCATGTATACTGTACCTGTACCTCACTTTTGTCACCACTGAATTTCATTTTGTTAAATAGTGCCCAATGTTCAAGTCTGTCAAGATCCTTCTGTACCTTAAGCCTGTCTTCTGGAGTGTTGGCTATTCCTGCCACCTTGGTGTCATCTGCAAATTTGATGAGTTCTCCATCTATCCCCTCTTCTAAATCATTGATGAAGATGTTGAAGAGCACTGGGCCCAGAGCAGAGCCCTGGGGCACCCCATCACATGCTTCCCTCCATGTAGATGCAGTTCGATCAGTCAGCCAGCTATGAATCCATCTGGTGGTGATGCTGTCTAATTCACATTTTGCTATCTTATCAAATAGTTGGTTGTGGTCTACTTTATCAAATTCCTTACTGAAGTCCAAGTAAATTATATCCACAGCATTCCCCTGGTCCACTAATTTTGTCACTTGGTCAAAGAATGCAATAAGATTTGTCTGGCATGATCTGTTTTTGACAAACCCATGTTGGCTTTTAGTAATGATTTTGTTTGTCTCTATGTGTTCACTGATTCGTTGCTTGATTATCTTTTCCAGAATCTTCCCAGGTATCGAAGTCAGGCTGATAGGCCTGTAGTTTCCTGGATCTATTTTTCCCCTTTTTTGAAGATGGGAACTACATCAGCTCTATTCCAGTCCTTTGATAGTTTCCCAGTGCTCCAGGATCTTTGAAAAATATAGTTCAGTGGTTCTGAGATTACATCTGCCAATTCTTTCAGAACCTTGGGGTGTAATCCATCTGGTCCTAATGATTTGAACTTGTCTAGGATGGACAGGTGCTCACTTTCCATTTTCTTTCCTATCTTAACTTGTGTTTCTAATCTTTTTTCTATGGTTCTGTTTTTGATAGGTTGGACTGTTTTTTTTTTCCTTTTGTGTAAAGACGGATGCAAAAAACAAGTTAAGTAGTTCTGCTTTCTCCCTGTTGCTTGTCATCTTCTTGTTACTTTCTTCCACTAATGGACAATCATTTTCTTCACTTTTTTCTTGTTTTTTACATGTTGAAAGAAGCTTTTTTTGACTTTTGTTGACAGCCTTAGTTCATTTTGAGGCTTAGCTTTCCTCACCTCATCTTTGCAGGCTTGGGCTATTTGCTGATATTCTATCTTAGTTATGTGTCCCTCTATCCACTTTTTATACTTGTCCTTTTTTTATTTCAATTTATCAGAGAGTTCTTTATGCAGCCATGCTGGTTTCTTTTGAGAGCTGTTATTTTTCTTCTTTGTTGTATTGTGCTAGACTGAGCTTTTATAATCTCACTTTTAAAAATTTCCCAAGCTTCTTGGGTTGTTTTCCCCTTGAGGATTCTCATCCATGGAATCCTTCCAAAGCTCTCTAAGTTTATTGAAATTAGCTCTCTTAAAGTCCAAGACTCTAGTTTGACTATATTCTATTGCTTGTGCCTGCAAAATGTTAACTTGCAAAAATGCATGATCACTCCCCCCCCCCCAGGTTCCTGGGGCTTCAACATCTATCATTTCATCTTTGTTAGTGAGAATTAAGTATAATATGATCCCCTAGTTCCCTTCTTTACTTTTTGGGAGACAAAGTTCTCTGCTAAGTTTGTTAGGAATCTGTTTGATCTTCCACTTGGTACAGAGTTTGTCTCCCAGTTGATGTCATGATAATTAAAGTCCCCCATTACTATTGTGATATGCTTCCTACATACCTTAGTTAATTGATTTTTTCATGAGGCAACTGGAGTTTGTTGTTGTTGATTGAAGAGGTTTTGCTTCTCATCCAAGAAGTTTCTTCAGCTCTGATTGGATGGTGGAGAATGGGAGGATTTATATTCCTTGCAGACATTCTCCCCCAGTCAGAGCTGTAGAAGCTTCTTGGATGAAAAGCAAAATGTCTTCAAAAAAAGGAAAGGAAGTCCAGTTGCCTCATGAAAAAGCATCTTTGAGATAACCAACAAAATGTGCAATAACCTACTGGTATAATGTCTTTATAATCAGAAGGACTACAATATGTTGCACGTGGTGTAGATATAAATAAAATTAGTCAGCTATTAAAGTTCATGATTTCTGCCACATCTGTCTTCCCAATTGCCAATTAATCCCAATAAATTTTAAAACAAATCCTCAGTTCCTCCAGTTTTTCCTCTCAGTCGGCAGTTTGAAAATGTTTTCAGCCTGGCATTATCCAGGTACTTGGGTTTTGGAAATTGATGAATAAGAATCTTCAGTCAAACTTTGCTTAACCAGAATTGGCCAATAACTAAATACAGACTGCTTATCAAAGAGCCCTTTCACTGCTTCAAACCTGCCAAGTATATATACGAGTATATTACCATAGGGCTTTGTGTACTGTATGAGTTAAATTAGTTTGCAGCTGTCCCCACCCCCCATCCCCATCCTTCAGCCTTTGTATCTGGCAACATATATTTGTGTGCATGTATCTTTGTTTGTAAAATATTTTCCTGAAAGGCTTCTATAGAGGCAGTTGCAAGGGAGAGTTGATTTCTTAATGTATATGGAAGTGCAATGAGAAATTTAAGTGTAAATCTCTTGATAGTATCACATCAAATTTATGGGTACACTGTGCTTCCCAGCAAATCCTGAGTGTTATAAACTAGCATGCTAGCAAAACTGCATTTGAAGGTTTTTTTCCTGAGCTGGGTCAGATGAAATTGAGCTGGGAAACATAGGCCACAGCATGCAGTAACTCCAAGAGAAACACCAATGTTTTTAAATACTTGATGCATTTAATTGGAATGAGAGATTTTAAATACTTGATGCATTTAATTGGAATGAGAGATTAATTAGAACGAGAGATTTATCTGAAGCAGGTGAGGAAAAGAAACTTTGTCTTTGACATAGGATAAGGAATACATTTCTAAGTGTTTAGTATGCATCATCGCTGCTTTGAATCAATGTCATCCAAATAACAAAGGTGTGTTAGAAGGAGTGGGGAAAACATGGGGGGGGGGAGAATAGAAATTGTTAAGTCTCTAGTTGTCTGGTTTACACCTAGAGTTGTCCATGAGGATTATATGTATTTAAAATAGATAGACAACCTGGTGGAACCCAATTTAATTAACTCTTTATTCAATTTGTATAGAAAATGGTTACTTTATAAACATTATTTGTTTCACTTTAGATTATATAAATGATCAATTTTAACAGGGCTTATTATTTATAATATAATGCATATAACACAATATTTATAGTTATACAGTTGAATATGGTTGAACATAGGGCCTTGATACATTGTGCAGATGTATTTCCAACTTGGAAAGTAATAGTGTCACATGGGCATATGTGGTGTGCCCAAAGTTGCCTGGACCATTGCATTTTATACCAGTTGAAGCTTCTGAATACCCAAATACTCAAATAATTTGGGTATAAGAAACAAGATGAGGGAGGACCAGTTACTTGGAGATGACAATTTATCCATAGAAAATGCTACTGATATAAGCCAAAGAGCACAAGTTAATAATTACTCCTGTAGCAACCATAGTCCATTATTCACCATCATCTACTGTATAATAAAGATTTATGGAAAGATACCAGTAGATCCAGTGAGAAATATAGTTTGGGCTGTAGCAAAGGAACCAGAAAGCAAAAAAACTTAAAACAAGACAAACTATAGGCAATAATAAAGCAGGAAGGAAGTATACCTGTAAATAGTGTCCAACAAATGGCCGAAATGTCATAAAAATAGAAAAT